CCACAGTCCTAATCTCCAGATTCATTCAAGGATCACATAAAATTAGAGCTTCGATTTACTGACCATTTCCTATGAGCTGGGGGCTTAATATACAACATGAGGCTTAGTATTGCCACGAGTGACTATTAACCCTCTTCTCTCCTCCAAGCCAGTGTCTTTCTCTGTTCCGGGGCAGCAACAGCCTCCGAGTTTCCCAGCCTCCTCGTTACCCTGCTTACACTGTCTTTTCGATGAGTCACCAGGGAGGTGTCCTGGTTTCTGTGGCTGTGATAAAATACCTTTTTCTTCAGGGAAGAAGAGTTTATTTTAGCTCAGATCACAGCAACAGGAGCTTAAAACAGCTGATCACATTCACAGTCAAAGAGATATGAATGCATGCATGCTCACTTGCGTGTGCACAGCTCGCAGTTCCTCCCTTCCTACATAGTTCAGGACTCCCTGCCTAAGGAATGCTGCCACCCAGGGTGAGCTGGGCTTTTTCACACCAGTTAAGATAATCCTCAATAGACATGCCCATGGGCCAACCCAGTGTAGATAGTCCATCATTAAGACTGTCTTCCCAGGTGATTCTAGGTCATGTCAATTGAAAATTAAAACTGACCATCTGGGACTGGAGTGACTGCTTTGCAGTTAAGAGTGAGTACTGCTCTTGCAGGACTGGAGTTTAGTTCTAGCACTCATGTCAGGTGCCTCAAAAACTGCCTGTAACTCCAGCTCCAGGGCATCCAGTGTTCTGTCCTTCACAGGCATCTGCACACATGTGGCATACTCACAGAAATACATACATACACATGAATAAAAGAAAAACTTGAAATAAAAATAAGACTAACCATCACACAAGGCTGATCTGTTTAAAGTCTCTCCCTTTTCCAAATTGCCCTGAAAACATGACTAAGACTCCTGATCATAACCCACAACATCCTGAGTGGTCTGAGCCCTGATACCCTTCCAGCCTGGCCTTGCTTAGCTCTGTCTCTAGAGACAAGAGTTCCTTCTCCTCCACACTGACCAGATTTTTGTTCTCTAATAAACCTTGCTTTGTTCCTACTTTATAGTTGTGTCTGGTACATTGGACTGTTTCAGATGGCTGTGCTGTGACATGGTGTTGATGGCTCTAGCTTTCCCCTCACATTGTAGGCTTTGGTGTTCTGCCT